GAATCCATCAGCACACCTTAAATTTCACTGTGACAACTTTGACCATCACTTTAGTTTTTATATGACACACACTTTTAGTAATGACTTTAAAAATATAGATTAATTTGGAGCGGATTATGTGAAGGTCATATATTCTAATCCTCACTTCCTGTGGGCTACAGCAACACTAAACCCCTGAGCTTGCCTGAGAAGGACTAAATGCACAAAGCTGCTATTTTTAAATATCCCATGGAGAGAGACTCTCACTGCAGCCTGTTCTATTTTGTTGTGAAAATGTGGGCGTGCAGCCTCGTTCTGTGGACGATAAACCAGGTGCAGACTTCCATCTGTGTCACCGCTGATGAGGAAATACAGCGAGTGCTGGACGGAGCAGTGAGTGACAACAACCCCGCCCACATTTAAGAGGACTGTCTGAACACACCGAGGGTCTAGGTACCATGTCTGAAGGCTTACTGCTGGTTCCAAAGGTGCTGGACTGAAAGGGTTTGGTGGAGACGGGGCTTCAAAGTCAATGGAGCACAGCTGTGATGTTGTCAGATCCTGGTCTAAGCCGGCCTGATGCTACATTATAATTGGCCAGTCTGTGCCCGGGGGTGGGACTTAGTGCAGGGTTAGTTGTGGCGACTCTCTGACACTAAACCTGTTAGTTTGTGTGTGTTTGGTGTTTAAGGCGACTGTAGGTGAATTTTACCGGAAGGCTTTGTAGAAAAAGAAACACTGTGTTTCTTGGAACAACAGCGCCTCATTTTATCGTAGAGCTCCAGATTAGATTCACGAACACACCCTCCATATTCACTGAACCTCTCTACCACTATACTCTCCCTCTCTCTATCTGTGATAGTGTTTCAATGTCTCTCACCCGCTCCTGTCTCGTCCTGAGTCAGCACTTCACACACACACACACACACACACACACACACACACAGTGTGGGTGAGTCATGAGGTGGGCGTGGTGCTTTTACTGCATGTGTGTGTGTGTGTGTGTGTGTGTGTGTGTGTGAGCTTCACCTTGAAGACTGTGTGCAAATAGGACACGGAGACAGATGATGACTACACTCACACACACACACACACACACACACGCACACACACACACACACACACACACAGATGGGAAAGCACCCTCACTGCAGCGTCTGCTGCTCAGATGTAACTTAACCGCGCTCACACACACACTTATTGATCAGGTCATGGCTGGCTGTTGTATAGTAGTGTGTATAACATTTGTGTGTGTGTGTGTGTGTGTGTGTGTTGGTTGGCATGATGGCGGTGCCAACTCCCTCCTCCCTCCATCTTCGTCTCCAAGGGCAACCGCCACCGTTGCCCACGGCAACCACCACGCTGACCCATGTGGGCACGATGCCTACTCTCACACAATGCCAGTGCCATCTGCCCCCCACTCCTCTAAAATCCTACACACACACACACACACACACACACACACAGAGGAATGCACAGACTGTCCAGTTGGTCACCATGGCGATGAGAGGTGGGGGTGTTTACGGTACTGTCCCATGGCTTGGTCTTTCTAACAGAAGCCCGATGTCGACCGCCCAGGGTGACTTTTGTTCCCGTTTCTGTGTGTGTGTGTGTGTGTGTGTGTGTGTGTGTGTGTTTGTGTGTGTGCGTCCTGCTCTGAGGTCACACTCCTTAATGCAGCAGGGCTCTCCCTGTCAATCTACTTACTGCCTCTTATACACATTAACCAACACACACACGTGTTGGCAGTTCTGGACTTGTGAGGATCCTCGTTAACATCACAGATTTCCCGGAGCTCCTGAAGCCCACACCCACACCTGAGTCCGACACGCTACACAACAGAAAAAGAACCACACTTTTGTATTTTGCAGACACAACCAGTAACACCACTCAAAGCTGCAGAGTCCCGCATCTGGTCGGATACCTGATGAAAAGGTGAATCACAGGTGGTGTTTCGTCTCAGTTTTATTTCTGGGTTCAGTTCAGGGTGAAAAAAAGAACATGTGCGTCAGATCGTAGGTGTACATTAACTGTCCAGATGTGCTGCTCAATATTATGAGAATAACAAAAATATATTCTGTTAAATTGTACTTCCTGAATTACCTTTTAAATAAACTGTCTTCTTTTCACCTGTATGAAACGTCCCAAAATGATCAAGTGCTGACAAACTGAATTATCTGAACAGTGCATGGTTGTTATAGGATTAGCAGGTTTGGGTCGAGGTATGGATCTTGTGTTGTCATGTCGGGTCACAGAACTAACGTGCAGAGCAGGTGTGGTGTTAGACGTCACTGTTCCCGTTTGAGGGCTGGTTTTGAAAATCAGACCTGTGCAAAGAACTTTCTCAGCTGCAAATGTCTGCAGGACGGGATGCTTTTATTTTATTTGCAATTTTTCATTTGTTTTTTAAATTTTTGTTTTGGATTTGAGAGGAGGACATTTTGGCCAATAAAAGTGTTAAAACCTCAAACAGCCCTTTGTAGCAGTGATCGCACATCATGTCTTTGATTCCAGAATTTGTCTGTACAAAACACCAACATATTACAAAATGCCCTTACCTTCAGAAATGGTCCTTTAAAATGTCCCCAACAATGTCAGCGTTGTCCAAAAATTCCCAACTTCACAAAAATGCCCTGAGGTTCTTCAGTTATCAAAACTTTTCTAAATATATCCTAACTTTCCAAAAATATCAACTCTTTACAAAACTGCCCTCAATATCAAAATCTGTCCTCACTGTTTAAAATGTCCTCACTTTTAAAAAAATCCCCAGCATCCTAAAATGGCCACAGATTCTTAAAGAGCGTCTTTCTCAAAGTGTCACCTTTACAGGTTTACTCTGCTGGATTGTTGGCCACTGTTTTTACACACGCTCACCAGTGAAAGTGAAAGCAAGACCGTCCCTAGATTCACTCTTGCTTTGCGTTTTCGATATATTTACATTCTTTGGCACCGTGTCTCTTGGATACCTGCTGCTTACGATCTGCAGTGTTGCCAGGTGCTTGATAATTATCATATTTGTACGATAATTTGGCCCTCTGTACGATGTACGATCAATAATCCCAAAAAAGGCCAAATGTACGATCATTTGACGATTTCATGAATGTGTGGTTGTAATCAGTATGCTGGAGTTTTTTTGCGGGCCCTGAAGGCATCTGTTCCCATGTGACATGTTTCAAGCCAATCGTACTTTGCTTAGCGTGAGATACGGGTGACGTTTGTCTCTGAACAATGAGCACAATTGGCTGAATGGTCAGCTGTACCCGCCCCACGAGGCGCTAGGACCCGTCAGGAAGTCGAGTGAGAATGAGATTCAAAACAGAAGAAGAAGAAGAGGAAAAACAGAAGCAAGGAAAATGGAAAAAAAGTAAACCAAAAAAGTAAACACTAGAGTGACTATATTTGCCTATAGCGCATCAGTAGGATTGTTATTTTGGTTATGATGGATGTACAATAATTTCCCTCAAAATACGATAATTTTGAGTCTCTGGTACGATAATCCTACATTTCCCACCTGGCAACACTGACGGTCTGGCACCTGGTTGCTACCTTTTTAAGAAGCCTCAGCCTCACCTGAGCTCTGTGGGGATACACGCACATGAACATCCTGAACACAGAGAATAAGAAGAAAATAATAACCTTCAGACAGATAAATACGAAACCGCACACTGAGAGTGGATCATAAGTGATGACGGAGAGGAATTACTTCTGTATGAGTCTATACGTTGTTTTTAGGAAGCGGCTGCAGAGTTTATCTTTAAAGAAAAACTCAAATCTCTGCAGCACGCTCCGTCTGTCGGTCGGTCCACAAAATAGTTCTCCCTCTTTGGCAGCCATATTTTTTTGGTCGCTGTAAATTCCTGCTTTCCCCAAAATGTTCTTTCTTTCCAAAAAGATGTCGTCAAGTTCTCATAAAAAATGTCCCCACCTTTTAAAAACGCCCTCACTTTCCATAAACGTTTTCACTTTCCTGTAATGTCCCCATTTATTATAACGATCCTTTCTTTCCAAAATAATCTCATTTATAAAAACCGCCCACATTTGAAGTTCATCACTGACCTGAAATTTATGTTGAATCCTAAAAAGATGACATCGTTTGTGTAAACGCACGAGCTGGGAAAAGTCCTCATTAGTCAAAGACTGAGAGACGACAGACGACAGCGACGTCCCAGAGAGACAGAAGAAGAATAAATAACAGGAGTCTGTTTCAGCAGCAGTGACAAACACCTGGCTCATGTCTAACTGTGTGTGTGTGTGTGTGTGTGTGTGTGCGTTGGCCTGTGACAGAGTCAATAAATCGACAACCTCGTTCACTGCAGGCCACCACACACACACACACACACACACACACACACACCAAAGCAATCAAACATGTCCCGATAGTCAACAGAGGACTCCCACCTCACTGTCATCTCACTGCACTGTGTTTGTGTACGTGCGTGTGTGTGTGTGTGTGTGTGTGTGTGTGTGTGTGGGATGAGTTAAGTCAAGGCTGCCCAATCGTTACACTCTTCATAAATCAGCTGGCAAACAGACCCTGACCTGCACACACACACACACACACACACACACACACAATAGCATTGTGTTAAATGTGGATGTTGCGTTCACTGACCACCTGCTCCATAGTAAAAGTTACAGGCCTGACGTGAAGCGCTGCTTTCTTTTCCCATCTTTGTTTACAAGCTGTTACACCGAGGCCACGCAAAACCCTGCTCTCTGATTGGCTGTGAGGTCCTGTTAAAATCCTAGAGAAGTACACGCCTCAAACGTAGTTGATCAACAGTTTAATGGCTGTTTCAAACCGAAGCTCAGGGTTTATTAAACTGCAGGTGACAATAGCAACTGTGTTTCATCCTTGTGGTTTGGGCCATGTAGTGTGAGTTAGCTCCAGTAAGACTAACTGGGTGGAGACTCAGAACCCACTGGGAGGCGGGATATGTTTCCCATCTGGTCTGGACTGTGGAGACCCCAGGAGGAGCTGCAGGGATTTGTGCCCACGTGTGTGTGTGTGTGTGTGTTACCTGTGGTTGCTGAGGGATGTTAAAGCCGGGGTCTCTGGGTCCGACGCTGACGAACCGCTGGGCTGGAGATGAAGTGGGGGTGGAGTAGGCTGCACGACACAAACACACAAAAACAAAGTTGAGGTTATGAACATCCAGCTGAGTGTGGTGTAGGTGCCTCCAGTTATGATTCTGGTGACTTGAGATCAAAGATTAGAAATGAAGTCACAAAAAGTGTCATTCATTATTAATTCATTTTCTGATTCCTTTGTTTAAGGATTTTTTGGGGGGAAATGTTTCCTCATCCACTGTGCGAGTCCAAGGACAGAGGGTGTCGTATGTAAACTCTCCTGGGGCAGATTTCTGATATTGAGCTGTAGCTTGTTTGCAATCAAGTGAATATTATGACACAAAAATTCAGATGAACAGGAAGTGATAAACACACATACTGTGTGAACTGGACATAAAGGAAAGTGACGACATCACACTGCTGGATGAAGCTGCAGGCCCCGATCACACTGGACGCATTTAGCAGGCTGCTAAATGCTATACGCTAAATGTCACTAGTAAAAATACGCATGCTGTGCCTTTTTATTGTTGCCAGGCAACCACGCCGTCAACTCCTAACATCCCTGTGTAATCAATGTATTTTTAATTTATTGTATGTATCCTGCAGTAATGAGTGTGTAGCTGCTGCCATGTTGAGGCAGAGGGTTCTGTCTGTAGCTCTGGTTGAGGGTGAGAGGCTGTCAGCAGATAAACAGAGATCTGTGTGGGTACATGAGACCCTAAAAAAGAGGCTGGATCATGGGGAGTACCACCAGTTGGTCCAGGAGCTTCTCCTCCATCATGGACGTTTACAGTACTGCACTTATCTGCTGTTTTCTATTGACATGGTGCTAACTGTGCTTTGTAAAGTCGTATAGCTCTGGGTATCCAGCAACCACTACCACCAGTTTCTCCTCCATTGGTTACCAACTGTAAACTTGTTGTCGTGACCACCACAGAAGCCCCGCCTCTCAAATCATCCCATTGGACAATGGAGAAAAGGTGGAGATGACATGGAGCGTTTTTCTGCTCTGAGTTGAAGTTTTTACAACTTGAGGAGTTCAGAGCGCTCTGGCAAAAACGTCAGGCACCTAGAGCACAGAAACGCGAGGCGCATCGCAACACAGAAAAAAAAACACGAGCAAAAAACTTCCCTCTCATTAAAATCAATAACAAAAAAGCGCCTCCAGCTGCTAAAATGTGTCCTGTGTGATCAGGGCCGCAGGAATCATTATAAATCTGAAACTCATGTTGGAGGTCATACAAAATGAAGAAAAGTGATTTTTCTACAACTTGACCGATTTGCCTGCGGGGGACACGATCGGCGTTACACGACCTCGTCCTCCAGACCTCCTAACGTAACACGAGGAGCCGATGACACGCACAAGAGTCCAGAGGACTTTACGTATTGTGTATGCCGTTGGGTCCATGACTGAAAAAGAGGCACCTCACGATTTGGTAACGATTCAGAGGGCTACGATTCCACGATAAAATTATTATTATTATTGATAAATCTAGATGCATCAACATTTTTTACTTCTATACATGATTTATTTTTTTTCACTGTGTGACTACCTGCTACTCATAAACAGAGCGCACTGTATTTTTAGAGATCTATAATTAAATAAACAGATGAATTTACTTGCGTGTCGTGCAGCTCTTGTTCAGGTCCCTTTTTCCTTCAACCTTACAGCAAAGAAGTTTCAGTACCTGAGCTTTTAACCCAGACTGTATCCATCTCAGGTCCTGCACAGGTCCATTTTTGAAAATCTGCCCATTCCCATAAAGATCAGCACCAGAACCGACCCGTTACCTGTCATTATGTCTAAATCAAAGCTGCACCTGTGATTAACCCCTCTCCAGTCCCTCACAGTCAGCTGGTTCTCCATCTCTTTGACTGGATGGTGAAAACATTCAATCACTGCCAGGTTAGGAAACATGTTAGCATGCTCCTTCCACCACCATCAAACCTCCAAAGGATCTGAACTCCATGTAGGCTGCCACCTCATCCTCGGGCTGCAAAGTTTCATGGCTGGAGTCCTCCACGTCGGGGTCAAAGGTTACACTTGTGTCACTGACTTTCAAATTTTTTTGAGCCATCACACAGCTTCTTGCAGGTTACCTGTCAGGCTCCCGACCTGGTGCAGGACTCTGATCCATCTGCTGCTGTACATATTAACCCATTGTGGGACATTTCTGCCAGCGTAGTGGTCACTGTTTGCATACTGTAATATTTCACCAAAAATAGTTTTTCATTCACATACTGTTGAATAATAAATATTTTAAAAGTTAACTGCATTAATTAAATAACAAATTCATATGAAAGCACCTCACAGTCTCCTGCATGTGTGATGATCACAAAATAAAGGGGAGGCAGGACGCTCTGCTGTGCTGTGCTGTGTTAACGTCTCCAGCAGTGGAGAGCAGCGTTTCTGCTGCACCTTCAGGTCCAAGAAAAGCCAAGACTCAGAGCAGACCGGGCGCAGGGTCATTTTCTTCTTCCTAGAGTTGGTTTAAGTTCTTAACGCTGCAGTGTGTGTTGGTCAGTTGCGTTTGTTATCGTTACTGCTAATCGCTGCTCCGCTCCGTTAAAGTCTCTGGGTGATGGTGTAGAAAGTATTAACCATTTACTTCACCTTCTCCTCACAAATATAATTATTTAGACATTAAATTAAAACACACTTGCAGCCACTGCCTTAATTAAAAGTTAACTCTGGTGTGTCCACGCTGCACACTGTCCTGGTGCTGCACTGACCTCACGGTTAAGTTCCGCCTCATCAAGTCATTATTAAACATTTGGATTCTTGACATTTGTGTATTGATGCTGAACTGTACTGTCCACGTCTGCATCTCAGTGCATCTACGAATCAACACTGCCGTTCACAGCATCGACAGATTTAACAAAGTTTTGAAAGACTTTTAGGAATTCTTTAAGATCTAGGTCAGAGTGATGACAAAGATTTCTTCTCTGCGAGAAATTAAGTACATTAGGACTTGAAAGCACCAAAAACAGAAGCCATAAATATAAATATCCACGTGTTGTGGATGAGTGTAAGTAAGGAGGATTAAATATTTTTGGCACAGACTGAGCGTGTTTTTGCCAAACGACAGTAAATCGACTTTAAACCCTGAAGTCAAAAATAATCCCAACACAATGCGAGTCACCTCTCACAGATTATGAATCATTTCCTTAGATTTTGAAGTAAATACTTGATTAATAATTAAATTATTGTGATGCTTATTCTGTTTTTTCCTTTGTTGCAGAGGCGGATTGGCCTCCAGCAAACACTTCTTGTAACATACATGATTCATGCATGTAGGGTATGAATTCAGAGGTAAAGATAATGATGATATCTTTTGCACTCACTGGGCGAGGTGGGTGAGTTGCCTCCGCCCTCTGTGGAGGAGGTGGAGGGCGGCTTGGCGTCGACGGGCAGCGGGACGGGACGGGCCATCGGGGGAGGCGGAGGGGGAGGCAGCATGGGCGTCGGCAGGAAAGGGTTGTGGACCTTTCCTTGGGAGCTACCATTGGGCTGCAGGAGGAGGGGGAGTTACAAAAAAACATGAAATAAAAAATTTAAAGACAATATTTTGGGCAGAAAAACATCAACAGGTCGGTCACACAGCTAACCTGTAACAGCTCAACTCTCTGCTGCCCTCCGAGTGCGTGTGAGGGTGTGTGTGTCTCTGTAAGAGTGTGTGTGTGTGTGTGTGTGTGTGTGTCAGCAGTTTTCCTGGCTGGTCATAAAGAATTCTGCTGCTGCTCGCATTTTATCCTGCTAATCTATAAGCATAATACCACAGTACCTCGCTTCACCTCTCTGCCTCCTTCTGTCTCTACTCCTTCTCCCTGCAGACTCTTCATATACTGATACACACTGTGTTTATACACTGTATGCTCACAGGTCTGTGGGTGCATTAACATGGACATGTACACACTTTATATTCTTCAGAACCCTGGAGCTCGTTGATGGAAACCAGGATACCGCTGCATTAAAACACCTCGTGTATGTTTCCAGAGGTGGAATGTGACCAGACCCATTTACTAAAGTGCTCATGTACAGATTTGAGGTTCTTGAACTCAACATGAGTATTTTCTTTTAATGCTACTTTCTATACGTGAACAGATGTTTTTGAAAACATTTTCCTCTATGTTCTGGCCTCTGGTCCAGTTTTAGCTTTAGGTCATTTTTTTAAAACAGGCTCCAGGCTTCGGATTTTTCAAAACGCCTGTGTTGACGTGTAAAGGTCCAGAAACACCAAACCAAAAGCAAAGCAGAGCTGACAAAAGTCAACTGTTGCATTGCCACTCGTTGCCTGTGTCTTGGCCAAAAATTTGCACCTGAACACATCGCAAATGACAACTATCACGTTCATTCTGCGCCTGCGTGAGAGGAAATAACTCTCCATAGCAGCAGGTGGCGATCGTCTGTGTTCGTCATTCAAAAAGAGAAAACAGAAGACCACCAAGATGCTAGTTAGCCAGTTAGCACATTTACAACACAATCCAATGTTGAAGAGTGGATGATTTTAACTGTGCGCTTGCTAACAACAACACAATCACAAGATGATGAGTCAAGTGATGTCACTCTCCTGTAAGCTCCGCCATCTCTAAAGGATTCAACACCAAATCCATAGAAAAAAGCCGACACAGGCTAAAGATGGCCGGTGGTGCCGGACACGTCACTTAATCTAGGGCACCAGACACTCACTGATGGCTCAACATTGACTAAGAGCTGACTGCCAGCTTGGTTTGTCAGGGCCCCAAACAGGCCCCCAGGAAGTGCGCCACGCTTTGAAGCCAGTTAAGTAATGGCAATACTGTGGAATTACAACTTCCCAGTCTGTCAGCTGATGCCACTGGGCCCAAAATACTTTTTCCAGTAGACTTAGATTGTGAAAAGACACCTGTAAATCAGTGGATCCTTTTTTTTAAGCGTCACAACACCTGCAAAATAACTTGTTTACTATCAGGATTGGATCCATTCAGTCTGATAACATTTGGAAAGTCTCGAGGAGCCGCGAGATTAAATCATTTTATCCCCGTTGAACTTAGCGGAGTGCCAAACAGGAAGTAGTCAGCTAAATCGGCTCACTTTTCTTCATACTTCCATGGCCCTGAAACGGAGCGCTTGGGAAATGATGATGTAATCTTCTTATTTCATGCATGACCACTGTTGGTTTGTGTCATGAGTATGAGCCAGAAACAACAACACGGTGGACTAACAGCTTGCTCACGTTCTCTCAGCACTGCTCAGGTTAATGATACTAATAATACTTCCCACCCAAATTCCTGCATCACTGAACAGACGAACGGAAGCGTCTGCTGCACCCAAGAACAGCAGAGTAATTAACTAATTAGCTCCACCTCATCTAACTACAACAGAAAAATCCTGCTTTTACACTAATGTGTGAGTCTCACACCCTTTTTCACCCACAGATGGCGCTAAAGAGCCACTACGAAATCCTGTCTTTACGCCATCTTTGCTTTTTTACACAGAACCAAATGATCGCAGCGTCATGTCGCTCCGGTGTGTGATTTTAGACAACATGCTGACACTGCAGAAGCAAAAGAGGCGTGATGGTGTGACATGTGACACTACAGCTTTGGCCTCTAGTGTGACTTATAACAAATGTGTCAGCAGCACTTTATAAACAATAACGACATCACACGTCAATAACAAGCATTTGTCTCATCTTGATCTCGTCCTCTGCTCGGAGAGTAAGGAGCTCCTGCACCTCATTGTTTTCACTATTTGTGGACATTTTCTTCTTCTTTGAGTTAGCTGCTAACTGATGCTAGCTGCTTTTCACTCAACCGGCGAGGGTCACACACAGAACACATCATCAAACCATCACACCCGTCCCGTCCTGTCGACTGTCCCTTTTACACTGACGTCACTTCGGAGCTTCCACGACCTCAGCTGTCAGCTTGAAGGTGAGACAACTCTGTCCCTCCTCTGCGATCGAGGTGGAATAATGACACAAGATTCTGGTCTTGAACAGGCAGCGTAGAGAGGCCATTACCATCTGATGACATCATACAAACAGTCACAGGGAACATTTTCAATCCAGGACTTTTACCGTGACAGCGAGGTATTAGTACTTTAACTTAGCTGAGTGATGGGTCTGTGTACTTTTTGATGCTTGTTTGAAAAAACAAATAAATAAATCACAAAAGGTGTTTTAAATGTATCGCGAAAGTTTTGGTGGAGAGAAGTTTTATTGTCATGTTTCAGGACATAACGCCATTTTTCTGTGACTTCCACTTTCATTTTAGCTCCACATGTTTTTACTACATCTGCAAAAAGAAGAAAACAGACAGACTGTGTGTGTGTGTGTGTGTGTGTGTGTGTGTGTGTGGTAGGGATGGTGGAGGGTGTATTGATTCGGTGTCTAGACGCAGATATATCAACTATCCCACTGCAGACAGAAGGCCACACACACACACACACACACACACACACACACACACACACACACACACACACACTCTGCAGTGTTTTCTGCTCCAGCCCTGCAAACAGATACTGAACCCACCTTTGCAGAGGCTGGAAAACCCAGCTCAGATGTTTCATTTGTGTGTATTTCTGTGTGTATTTCTGTGTGTGTGTGTGTGTGTGTGTGTGTGTGTGTGTGTGCTTACGTTGAGGAAGCCCACCTGTCCGGCCTGCTGGGCGGAGTCAGGACAGACCAGCTGGACGAACTCCTTGAGCGTCTCCTGCGGGTGATACCTGATGGCCGGGTGGGAGAAGTAGGAGCCGGGCTGCTGCAGGATGGGGGAGGAGGAGAAGTGGAGGCTGGAGGGGGGAGCATGGGGGCTCGCTGTGGGAGGGGGGGGGGAGGAGGAGAGGAGGAGAGGAGAGAGGAGATTGTTAAGAGACAGGAGAGTCAGGACAGCGAGGTAGAGAGGTGATTGAGGGACGGGGGACGGAGCAGGAGGGAGTAAAAACAGGGACATTTAAAGTTGATTAAAGGGGGCGTGGCTTCACATGCAAATACCTGGTGACACACACACACACACACACACACACACACACAGCAGAGCAGATGAAACAATGACAACGGACCATGATGCACCTCTCTCACCCAGCTGTCAATCAAACTGTGTGTGTGTGTGTGTGTGTGTGTGTGTGTGTGTGTGTGTTTGGAGGTCAGTGAACACATTTATTTATGTTCCTCCTCTACACTCCTCTCACTCGTCTCCTCCTTCCTCCTTTTCTTTTCATTCCTTTCCTTTTTTCACCTCCTCTTCCTTCTCTCCTTTCCTTAATGCTTTTTCCTCCTCTCTTGTCTCCTCCGTACTCTTTTTCGTTGTGTTTTTTCCTCTCCTCTTGCTTCCTCCTTTCCTCCTTCATTCATGGCTTTCCAGTTGTCTCTTCCTTGCTCCTCCTTCTCTCTACTCCTCTCTTGTCTGCTCCTTCCTCCTTTTCTCTACTCTTTTCCTATTTTCTCCTCCTCATTTCCTAAGTTGTGTCCTCCTCTTTTTCTTTGCGCTTTTTCCTCTCCTCTCCTCTTGTTTTCTCCTTCATCCCCTCACTTTCTTTCTCCTCCTCTTCCTCCTCTCCTTTCTTATCTGGTTCCCTCCCCTTTCTTTGCACCTTTTACTCTTTTCTCCTTTCTTCCTCCTCTTCTTTCCTTTGTACTTTTTCCCCTCCTCATGTTCCCTACTTTCCTCCTTCATCCTTTGCTTCCAGTTGTCTCCTCTTTCCTTTCCTTTCCTTTCCTTTCCTTTCCTTTCCTTTCCTTTCCTCCTTCTTCTTCTTCTCCCCTCTCTGTCTTTCCTCACTCATTTTCTGTCTATTGTTTCCTCTTCTTCTCCTCATTCTTCCTCTCCTTTCTTCTCCTCGTTCTTCCTCTCCTCTTGCCCTCGGTTATCTCCTCTCTTGTCTTTTCATTCTCCCTTGTTTCCTTCCCTTTCTTCTTTCGTCCACTTCTCAACACCACTTTCGTCTCCTTTTTTCTTTACTCTTTTGCTCCCTTCTCCTCCCTCTTTCTCTCCTTTCCTATCTTGTTTCCTCCTCTCTTGTTTTCTCCTTTCCTTTCTTCATCTTCTGCTCTCTCCAGTTGTCTCCTCCTTGCTCTCCTTTCACTCCTCTAACCTTCTTTGCTCCCTCCTTTTTGGTCCATTGTTGCCTCTTTCACTGTCCTTTCTCTTCTTTCCTTTTTCTTCCTCCCTTCCCCTACTCCTCCTCCTCTCCTGCTCCCTTCTTCTTTTCACCCTTTTCTCTCCTCTTGTGTTCCCTCTTTCTCTCCTTCATCCTTTACTCTCAAGTTATTTCCTCCTTGCTTTCCTTTTCTCCTTCTCCCACTCACCTCCTCTCTGTCTTTCCTCCCTCCTTTTTGTCTCTTGTCTCCTCTTTTTCATTCCCTTCGTTCCTCTCTTGTTCCTTCTCTCTCTCCTATTTCCTCTATTCCTCCTTCATTACATGCTCTCCAGTTTTCTCCAGTTTTCTCCTTTTTGCTTCTCCTTTCTCCTCCTTCTACTCCTCTGCTCTCCTCACTTACTTCTTCCTGTTCCTCCCCCTCTCAACCCCCCTTTCCATCTTCCTGTCTTTTTCCTCTCCTCTTACTTCCTACTCCATCTTTCTCTCTGGTTTCCTTTCCTCCTCTCCTTTTCTCCATCTTTTTCTCCTCTTTTCTCCTTTCATTTCTTCTTCCCTCTTCCTCTTCTTTACCCCCTTCTCATCTCCTTCTCCTCTTTTCCTTTTCCTCCCCCCCTCACATCTTCTTTCATTCTACCTGTCTTTTTCCTCTCCGACCGTCTTCACTTACTTCCTACTCCATGTTCCTCTCTGGTTTTCTTTCCTCCTCTCCCTTTATCCTCCTCCCCTCCTCCTCCCCTCCTTCTCCCCTCTTTCTTCCTGTTCCTCTCCCTCTCTCCTCCTCTTTCCTTACTTCTTTCTTTTTACTGTCCTCTCCTTATTTCCTACTGTCCTTTCCTTTCCTCACTTTCCAGTCACTCCTCTTGTTTTTCCTCTCCTCTGTTTCTTGCTTCTTCCTCTATCTACCGTTCCTTTTCTTTCTTCTCCTCTTCTCCTCCCTTGTCTCCTCTCCTCTCCTCTCCTCTCTAATTTAATTAGGGCTCTAATTGGTCTAATATTCTCTGATTGCTCGTTAGTGGCCGAAGCCTCGTTACAGACTGTGATGTACAGAGAGGAGGAAAAGAGAGGTAGAGACAGATAACGGAGGGAGAGAGATTGAGAGTTAAAGCTGCTGCACTAATTCACTTAAAGTCCGCTGTGATTTATCACTCTGACAATACACACTGACCGTGTGTGTGTGTGTGTGTGAGTGTGTGTGTGTGTACCCTGCGGCCAATGTATTTACAGTAATCATTGGATTTCTCTGCCCTCTCTCTTTCTCTTGTACACACACACACACACACACACACACACACACATATACACACACCCATAAAGGGACACTGTTTGTGTACTTCAATAGGAATGATCTCACTCAGTATGCAGGCATGCACAACCACTTCTGTGTGTGTGTGTGTTTCATCATGAACAACTCATTGACACACACACACACACACACACACAGACTTATGCTACATAAATACAAATGTAACCGTAAAAGTAATAAAAAGCAGCACTTCTGTGCAGCATCGCCGACGGTTGCCTGACAACAAGACCTCAGGAAGTCACAACACCGTCTGCTGTCTGTCAGCAAATAGTTCCAGCACATCATGTCAGTGAGTGTTCAGATTAAACTAACGAGACACAGCGTGTTAATCTGCGAATTCTACAGGTGTTGGCAGATGCATTTTTGAACTTAGCGAAAGCCACGCTAGCAGTTTCCCTCTGTTCCCAGTCTTTATGCTAAGCTAGGCTAACCTGCTGTAGTTCAGTACTTAATGCAGATACAGTAATGTGCTGGGTCTGCAAGAACCAGACCTCTCCGATTGCTTCAGTGTGTAAAGAGCTCTGTGACAATATCAAATTAAACAACGTTTCGGCTTCTTTGCGTGACGTCATACATCACTGTCGTCTAGATGGAGGGCCGGCAACTGGAGACTACCGACGCTGCACAGAGGTCAGTGATGTGGGCTGCTCACAGCTGTTCCAATCATTCACACTGGGAAAAAACAAAGGCCACTTAAAGTTCCAAAAAATAGCAGAATGTAAAGGGGAGTAGTATGAAAAAAAATCACTGAGAAACAGCAGCAGATGTGGATCAAAAACCTTTGTTCCCAGTCTGGAGGAGCAGAGTCCACTGATGTCAAATGTTAACATGAAAGTGTTGAGTTAAACAGGCCTCAGGTTGGATGCAGTCACCATGTGCTGTGACAACTTCTCTGTGTTTTCAGCCACAACCCGGCATTTCACTGGGTCCATGTCATTGGTCCGACAGCCCATTGGTTCGACATCCCATTAGTCCGACTGTCAGCGGTGCTGAACGGCTCGCGGTGGGCGTATGGTGCGCCGCGACCGGCTCTGGGTCAGCTGGGAAAGGCTTGACGCGGAGCAGGCTCACGGCTTATGTGTTTGTCTAAACCTAACCAGACCTTAACCACAGGGCATCATGATGATTTCAGAACGGACTTTGGAACAATGAGTTTAATATGGTCGGAACAATGGGATGTCGAACCAATGGGCAGTTCCCCATTTCACCAGACAGACCTTTTGGAACAGTTGACCTAGCAGGTAGAAACAGTACCTAAAGCTAGCTAACATGAGCTAGTAATGTTAGCCTGGCAGCATTTCAGCAGAATACTGAGAACGGTTGACCTCATACGTAGAAAACAGTAGCCAAAGTTAGCTAATGTTAGCTAGTAATGTTAGCCTGACAGCGTTTTACTAGACCTCTTGGAACAATTGACCTAGTAGGCAGACAACAGTAGCTAAAGTTAGCTAACAATAACTAGTAACGTTAGCCTGACAGCATTTCACCAGACCTCTTGGCTGACCTAGTAGGTAGACAAAAGTAGCTAAAGTTAGCTAATGTTAGCTAGTAACAGTAGCCTGACAGCATTTCACCAAATCTCCTGGCTGACCTAGTAGGTTGAAAACAGTAGCTAAATTTAGCTAACATTATCTAGTAAGGTTAGCCTGACAGTGTTACCAGACATCTTGGAACGGTTGACCTAGTAGGTAGAAAACAGTACCTAAACCTAGCTAATATTAGCCTGGTAATTTTAGCCTGACAGCATTTTAGCAGACTTCTGAGAATGGTTGACCTCATACGTAGTAAACAGTAGCTAAAGTTAGCTAATGTTAGCTAGTAATGTTAGCCTGACAGCATTTAACCAGACCTCTTGGCCAACCTAGTACGTATAAATTGGACCTAACGTTAGCAAATGTTAGCTAGTAACGCTTTTAAGGCGGTGGCCTTGTGGGTAACCTGTGAGGGTAGGACGTGTGCTTCATGGTGTATATGGAGGGAAGCAGCTCTCAGGACGTCATGGTGAGGACGGCAGGCGGCAAAGAGTGATGACAGTCAGCAGAATGCAGTGTCTTGATAAGCTCAGGGCTGTTACACCTCATGAGACGGCCATGTTTGTTGTTTTGTGGTGAAGACTGCAATAAAGCCATTGTTAATGAACAGCACCCAAACGCCTTGCCATCCTTCCGTCTGCAGAGTGGCCCGGACCGCTGAAGCTTACCAGCTAATAATGAGTCAAGTGCCCTCTAGAGGATGAAGTGTTCATTACAGCCACAACGTGAAAGCAACACATTCTCCCTCCAAACTTGTCAAACAGACACAATGGTTGACCTCATAGGTAGAAAACAGTAGCCAAAGTACATTAAAGTTAGCTAGTAACATTAGCCTGATAGCATTTCACCAGACCTCTGTGAATGATTGACCTAGTAGGTAGA